TTTTTGGTACCGAGGATCAAACTCAGGACCTTGCACTTGTGAGGCAGGCAACAGCACCACAGAGCTAAATCCCTGACCCTTTGTTATTTTTAAATAGTGCACATTAGTAAACTGTACAATATAGAGATTTATTTTGGCATACTAGTACATGCATATAACATATTTCAGTTATTTTCATTCCCATTACCTGCATCTGCCTTTCCTCCTCCCTCCTCTGATCTCCTTCCCTATCTCTTAAAGTCTGCCTTCTAGTTTTCTGTCATCTCATGTTTGTTTACAGATTGCTCATGTAAGAGAAAACAAGCAATATTTAACTTTCTGAGACTGGCTTATTATGCTTAACATGATCTACTTCAGTTCCATCAATTTTCTTGTGAATGACATGATTTCATTCTTCTTATGGCTGAATAATATTCCATTATAATTTTTTGTGGTACAAGGGATTGAACCCAGGGCCTTTACACTGAGCTACATTCTCAGATCATCTTTTATTTTGAGATAGAGTCTCACTATGTTGCCCAGATACGGCTCGAACTTGCAGTCTTCCTGTCTCAGCCTCCCTCATTCCTAGGATTGTAGGTATATGTAACCATGCCCGGCTCCATTGTAACTTTAAAATATCCTCTCAACAGCTAGCCTTAGCAAGAATATAGGACCTCATTGTACATATTTTTGTAGAGTAATATTTTCATTTTTGGTTCCATTTTATAATCCTTAAACCTTTGGTCTCATTTCTCTCTCTCTCTCCCTCTCTCCCTCCTTCCCTCCTCCCCTCCCTCCCTCCACTTGGGATTTGAACCCAAGGCATTGCACATGCTAGGCAAGCAAACTATCACTGAGCTACATCTCCCTAAAATTTGTAAATATTGCTACTGATTGATTGACTGCTTTGTTGCCAAGCACTGTGGCAGGCACATACATAATTTAATTCTCTCATAACTTTTCTATCTCCTCTTCATCATGGAGACTTTGTTTTTAATATATAATTATCCCTTATATTAGTCAGTGTTCTGTTGCTGTGACAAAATACCTGAGATAAACACCTTAAAAAGAAGGAAAGTTTTATTCTAGCTTACAGTTTCAGAGGTTTTAGTCCATGGTCACAGGTCACTTGGATCCAATGCTTGTGGGCCTGTGGTGAGGCTTAACATCATGGTGGAGAGCATATAGTAGAGCAAAGTGGCTCATCTCATAGCAAAGAGGAGGCAGAGACATGAAGATCTACAGAAAAAAAATCTACCCTTCACAGCGTGTCCCCAGTAGCCTACTTCCTCCAACCAGACCCAACCTCCTAGAATTTTCACCCCCTCCAAATAACACCATCAGCCAGTGAACTTGTGGGTGACATTTAGGATTCAGCCCATAACATCCTTAAACCTGTCTTAAACAAATTAAGTCCTGGGATTTAGCTCAGTGGTTTCGCTGCCTGCTGCGCAAGCACAAGGACCTGAGTTCAATCCTCCAGGTACCAAAAAAAACCAAAAACAAATTAATTCCTTGATGAGTCTTTCTCTACCCTGTATCTATCTAATTTTTGTTTGTTTGTTTTCAAGACAGGGTCTTGCTATGCAGTCCAGGCTGGCCTTGAACTCACTGTGTAGCCCAGGCTGGCCTTGAACTCTTGGCAATCCTCCTGCCTCAGCCTCCCAAATGCTGGGATTACAGGCATGTGCTGCCATACCTGGCTCTACTTATTTTCTGTTTTTTAAAAAATAATCTTTCTCATTTTACAATAAATTTGAAGCAAGAAGTGGTTAATAACTTGCCTCAAGTCACACTGTCATTAAATAATAGCAGACTATAAAATAAAACCAAAATCTCTGGCTCTTAATCAACTTTTTGTTCCCTTTCCTCCCTTTTTCCTCTCACATCCCATTTCTCCCTTCCCTCACATTTTCCTACTCTTTCTCTGAGTTTAACACCTTAAATATCCTTCCCAGCTGGCAGCCGGGTAGTATGATGTGTGTGCTGAGAGGAGAGGTGGTGGGGTTGGCTAAGAGACTAGAGCCCACAGAATAGTCATCACTCAGACCCCTCGCTGGCCAAGTGCTTTATAATCATTTCACATTCCAAGCTGTGCTGCTTGTGTGGACTTGGCCAGCCACTCTCCTAGAGCTGCTGATGGCCCCACAGGGTTGGAAAGCATCCAGAACCCCACCACCACCACCATCCTTGACTCTCCTTTTTCAGCAAAAGTAGGAAACCAGGTCCTTATTGGGGTATGGACAGCCGGACTGGATTGGGTGTCTAGAGAATGATGATATTGGAATTGCTAACATTAATTAAGAGAACAGATTCTTTTGACAAAAGAAACAGATCGGAGGTTGACGTAAAAAATTTGTAGCCCACAAGCACAAATGAATTTTTGGGGGCTTGCACAGTATTTAATTTTTAAAAATCTTTTATAGGACATGTGCACTCACCAATGTGTTTCAGTACTCAGATATTTGTTTCTTACTATTTTGTGTCTAACTGCTGTTAACTGCTTGATTCCCAAAGTTATTTGATGTGACTCTACTCAGTTTACTGAAATATGAGTTGTATACATAATGTGGTCACTTGAATTTCACTGAGGGCAGAAATAGAAGATATATTCTCTTCTTCAGAGTCATCAAGGTTTTCTAAGTTTTTTTGTTTTGTTTGTGTATGTTGTTTGTTTTGTGGTGCTGGGAATGGAACCCAGGGCCTCTCATTCTATGCAAGCTCTGTGCCACTGGGTTTCATCCCCAGTCCAACAGATATTTTTTCTTCTGTCAGTTGAACATCTCATGGCTAGAAATACCCTTTTGCTTAAATTTTACTCCTCTTGTGACTTTTTCTCCCCAGTGTAGTTTTTTGGGTTTTTTCCCCCAATGTAGCTTTGTTTGTGATGATCTGAGTGAAAACATCTACAAAGTTTTCTACTCTTGGCTCATCCACACTCAGAGATTTATGGAACCTGGAAGAAATTTAATTAGAATATTCTTAATTAACATGTTCTGAGTTGGGTTAAAGATAGAGAGAAAGGAAGGAAAGGATTTGTTTGTATGTCAAATGCATGAGATTTGATAAAGTACTGTATAATTTTCCAAAGGATTAAAAACATATTTATATAATTATAAAAAGAACAGATATCAGAAGTATTATCTAATTCATTAACTAATGAAGTAAGATATTAAGGCCAGTTCAAATAAAAATTTAGAAGCTAAATGTTTATAGTCAATTTAATAAAGAAATGTTAAGATTTATAAGTGATATATAAAATGAATTAATGTCCTAAAGTGCAATAAATTATATAACTTTGAAGTTATCTTTTCTATTAGATAGAAAATATTTGTGTCTCTACTGGGTAAAAATATACACGTTAACCTGTGCCCTGTAGCATTATAAAAATGGTCCTGTCAATAAACTGTTAAAATATAAACAAAGCAGAACTGCATTAAGATCACCCAATAATTTCTTTTACCTGTTTCTAATGTTAGATGACTTTTTTCCAACAGATTGTAGTCATCAATTTAGACTTGGTTGCCAGGAATTAAAATATGTTTCACAAGTGTTGAAAATATAACTCTATAATGAGGATAAATATAAATTCTAAAATCTAGCATATGTACATTAGGGGTAGATTATTTTGGATTTCACGGATCAAGTTCCAAGTTTCATAAGCATATGTTTGAATGAAACCATATAAGTATGAATAATTCTCATTACAAATCTTTTTATTTTCTTTACAGAAATTCCATGGAATTGTAGTTGGTTCTACTTTGCAATGTCTCTATCTATAAAGCAAAGTGAGGACAGAAAAAACGGAGGAGGTAGGGGGACTGGGGAAAGGAAATCTAAGTCTGTGTGTTCTCATTATTGTCTCTGAAAAGTGTGTGTATGTTTATGTTTGTGTATACTCAAGTGGACATGAGAAATAAATAGATAAATAGACCCAATCTACCAATCAAATTATGAGCCTGCCAAACAAATGACCAGGAAGAGAAATATATTTGCAGAAATAAATACTTGATACTTAACAAATACAAGCTCTTTTGTCATCTGAGAATTCTAATTTTGTATAGTTATAATCTCTCATCTTTTATACTTTCCAGTATTTGGAAATTTACCAGGAAGCCTTGTATTCCTTCCCTTCTCCCTATCCTTTACAACTGTCTCCCGCTCAAAAGAAGTGGTCAGTGTGAAAGCAAGTTGCTGAGGCACGGAAGGTCCTTTGCAGGCTTTTTGTGGCAGAACAAATGAAGCTGGCTATGTTGTATAATCAAACTGAACTGCATTAAGATCACGCAATAATTTCTTTTAACTGTTTTTAATGTTAGATGATTTTTTTCTGACATACTCGAGTCATCAACTTAAACTTGGTTGCCAGGAAGTAAAATATACTAGGAAGGATTTCCATGAAAGTCCATGACCTCCTTTGGTGAATCCAGGTACTAATGGGAGCTACAGTAATTGTACCCAAGCCATTTTTCAAAATGGAACTGCCTAAACAGTAAAAAAAAAAAAAAATTAATTCTGACATGCAGTTTTGAAAAAGCAAGCCAGAATTTAATTCCAAGTTTAGGCTTCTTTTTAAGGAATGGCAAAGGAGCCATTGGCTATTGCAAATAATGCTGCTGCAAACACTTTTACAAGTTTTTGTGTAAAAAATAATTTCAGTTCTCTTGGATCTTTAAATTCATTTAAAATCTTATTTATGTTCTGTCTTATACTTGGGGGTTTTTTTGTTTGTTTGCTTTTTGTTTTGTTCTGTTTTTAGACAAGGTCTACTTATGAAGTCAGACTGGCTCCAAACTTCTGGTCCTCCTGCCTCACCCTCCAGAATGCTAGGATCATGGCTGTGCATCACAATACCTGGCTTTACAGCCTGCCTTGAATTATCCTTTTGTCATTTTGCATGTAAGCGATGTGGTTCTACTAGATTTTCTACCTAGTACAGTACCTACACAGCTCTCTATGTCCTGCAGAATTTGCAAGATTGTCCCATCTATTCTTTCTTCTTTGTTTCTCCTCTGCAGCTCTACACATAACATCACCACCCCACCAGCCCCACAAGTTAAGTAATACTAAGCAGTAATTCAAAAACATGAAGTAAACCTGTCTATTTTAGTGTGGAAAGATCTCTTAATACACAGTGTGAGAAAAAAAAAAAAAAAACAACTTGCAGAGCTATACCTATAGTAAGCTTTCATTTGTTTAAACACACAGACACATGTGTGTGTCTGTGTGTATGTGTATGTGTTTTCCATGTAAAATGTAGGATTCTTAGTTAAATTTGAATTTCAGATAAATAATAACTTTTAGTATAAGTGCCCAGGTGAACTCTATCTTTTATTTGCTAACTCTGGCAACCCTAACCAGAGGAGATCAGAGGGGATCAAATTTTCAATCTTATATTTAAATCACTTCTTTAGCATCACCAAGGCAGTTTCTTTTTTTCCTTTTCTCCTTTGTTTTGTCGTTTTCGAAACAAGGTCTCAATATGACTTTGAACTCACAATCCTCCTGCCTCAGCCTCCCGAGTGCTAGAGTTACAGATATTTTGTTTCGAACTAATGCCCTTTAATATAGTTTTCCCAACCCCTTGTTCCCATGGCAAGGAAGGGTTTGTTATTGAGCAGCACTGCAAGTGATGTCTAGCAGTTCAGTCAAACAGCACTGATTAGCTCTACCACTTTGATGAGAAATCATTTGTCCCATGTTTTGGTTTTTTTGTTTTGTTTTGTTTTGTTGGTACTGGGATTGAACTCAAGATGTTTGTGAGGCAGGTGTGGTGCCACTGAGCTAAATCCCCAGCTGTCCCATATTTCAAATGAGGTCAGAATGGCAATCAAAGCACTCCTAAAATGAATGATGTTCCTATCTGCTGCCTCTGTCTTGGAGGGGAAAGGCAAAAAGCGTAAGGTCTCAGAGGGGAATAGGGGTAACGTGTTAGTTTTTAAGCACATCCTGAATTAAGTCAGCCAAACTGATTTTGATTTTCTCAGGGCCTGGTCCTTTAATAATTCTAGTCTTGTTTTCACAAAACTCAGGTAGAATGATATTGATGATGGGTTTCTTTTGACCCAGACATGGCAGAAATGAGCCTGGGCCAAACAGTGCAATCACACATATACCTACACAAGCAAAGCTTTATTAGGAGGCACCCAGTGGTAAATGTAAATGTATTGTATACCTAAAATGTACCAATTAATATATTTTTAAAAAAAGAAAGAAAGAAAAAAAAGCTTTATTAGGAGGGAGGCCCAGAGGGAAGGAGTTTCAGATGAACTGGAAATTCTGCTGGAAGGAGTCAGCAACTTGGGGAGAAAAGGACTATGCTGCTAGCAAAATACATTAACAGGTTTTTATTGATTTGTTGAATTAGGCTAATGTCTGGTTATTTCCACTTTCAAGGGCATGGTTCCTAAAGCTTTGTTGTGTTTTTTAATTTCTTGTTGAGAAACATCCTGGCCCTATATTTGGTGGGCTAACGGCCAGCTTTGCTCAGGAACCACTGAGTTACTTTTACAGCTGGTGTCATCAGCTTGCGTAAACACCCTAACCTTATAAAAGCTTTCAAGGGCTTGAGTTATGGAAAAAGCACAAGGGTTAGGTAGAAGAAAGACTTACCTGCTCCAGCAGGCGAAGGCCAAGTTAACCCTGAATCATAGAAACTGACCCAAGGGTTAAGAGAGCAAAGGAGACAGGCGCAAATGAAGACAGAGATAACGAGCCTTTCATCCCATTTTAGATATCACCTATCGGCTCAAATGAAGAGCCTGGTGGTTTAAAAAATTGGCCTTCCTTTGATTTTTTGCAAAGTAACCTGGGAAAGTGTTATCACACATCAGAGGTGTTATCTTACAGCAAAGCTAGTGGGAAACTAAAAATGTAATACCCTGCAGCATAACCTCCAAAATTAGTAATTTTTAAGTTGACTAAGAGCAACTAAGACTAATGGGCATATTTGGGGCTTTTTTTCTTAGAAACAGTATCTCATTTCATGCAAACATTCTGCTTCTGTGGTTTTATCAGGGTCCCATGACATATCTGTTGAAACATGCCATGCTACAAAAGATAACAGTTTATGGGATCCCCAGTGTATATTTTGGGGTCCCAGCCTTCTGCCCCACCATGGTGGTCCTTAAGTGTCTCAGAATCAGTACAGTTCAAAGGGATAGTCAAGCAGAGGCATGGGACAGCTGTAACAGGACTGGACTTAGCCCAACATTCAAGACTTTAGTGAGCTTCCTCTCTAGGCTCTTACACTGGACCTTGCATACTCTCTCCTACCATGCTGGATGTACTACTATTTGCTGACTTCATCATTCAAAGGCCAGTAAAGAATTAGCTTTAGCAGAGGTTTCTCTCAGCCCAGCTGTTCTATAATTATGTAGATCCTTCTACAGTAACAGGTGATAATGACCCCCTGGAGACCTCAATTTGACAGAACATGTTTGTAAGCATCTTTTTATTTATGTGTTTTTTCATTTGACAAATCTTTACTAAATCGAGGGCCTTATATTGAGCTAAGCAGTGGGATACAGAGATTTAAAGAAAAGAGGGGAGCAGGGAAGACTTGGATTCCACTGGGTGTGCGTACATGTGTGCATGCATGTGTATGTGTGTGTGTGTTACTAGGGATTGAACCCAGGGAGTACAAAGCTATACTTCCAGCTCTTTTTATTTTAAGAAAGGGTCTTGCTAAATTTCCCAGGCTGGCTTTGAATCTTCAGTTGTCCTGCCTCAGATTCCTGTGTAGCTGAGATTACAAGTACTGGTAGGTGCCAACTTGTGGGACTTTCTCAACCCTCCCACTAGGATTAGGAGTCTGAAGATGGTCTGGAATAATACTTTCTTCATCTGATAACTCTAGAGCCTAACACAAAGCCCAGCCCCTTCCAAGAACCTAGTGAATACTCGATAAACAAAGGAAGAATTGAAGAGACTACAGGAATACTCCATTCAGGGCAGAAATATCTATTGACTGTATATCCATTTATATATATATTATATAGTTGGGCCTCTATATCTGTGATTCTAAATCCATGGATTCAGCCAATCATGATTGAAAATACTGTATTTGAAAAAAAATTATTTCTGAATTGAACATATGGAGACTTTTTTCCTTATCGTTATTCCCTAAATAATACAGCAAGTATTTACATAGCATTTAAATTTTATTGAGTATTATATTTCATTTAGACATGATTTAAAGTATACAAAAAGTGTGCATAGATTGCAGGCAAATACTACCTTATTTTATGTAAGAGATTTGAGCATCATGGATTTTGGTATCCATGAGGGTCCTGGAACCAATCCCCTACAGGCAGATGCTAAGGGATGATTATAATATTTAGTTTTTTCATAATATGTTAGCAGGCTCACTATTGCCAATAGTTTTCACACCTCTATGTTTGATATGATGAGTCCATCATATAATGCAATGATCTGACTCACTAGGAGTATACTAAAATCCCTTCAATCCAGGACTCTGCCTTATTGGCCTTTTTATTCCCATCCCTACTCCACCCTCCCAGCATGCAGCATACTGGCTTCCATGAAATTTAGTTAAGCAAGTGTGTTAGTGAACACAATTTGTTTTTCCTCTGTACTCATATCATCATCAACACAGAAGACTTCTGTGACTCTAAAAAGTATGGGGATTTCTCCCGACCAGCAAACAGTCAATTCTGCAGCAGCAAATATCAGCTACTGGTATCCTCTAATCTAATTCACTTCTAACACTATTTCCAAGTTGATAGTATCTGATCCCACAGGTTGAGGGCTTAGCCTGACTGTCCCTACTTCAGACCCAGATGGAACTTCTGACTGACCAAATAATTGGGGTTCCATAACCTCCTCCTCAAGATCCATTATTTATTAGAGCAGATCAGAAAGCACTATACTTACATTTACTGGTTTATTATAAAGAATACATAATAAGAAGCCAGATGAAGAGATATTTAATGCAAGGTCTAGAAGGGCCTTGAGTGCAGGAGCTTCTATCCCCACGGAATTGGAGTACACAATCCTCCCAGCATATGTACAAGCCTCATTCACCTTCCTGTAAGCTTCTACGTTGATCTGTCCGGAAGTTCTCCAAACCCTATCCTTTTGGGGCTTTATGGACACTTCATTGCATAGACATGATTGCTAATAGACTAGGTGGAGAGACTCAGCAAGGCCTATATAAGGGAAAGGGTTAAAGTGATGAGAATCATCTGGAATGTGCATGTTCACTGAAATGACCTGGGCTACATGTCTTTCTGGAGAGAGGGTATTTCCTGAGAAAAGAGTGTATAGAGATAACTGTTAACACCCGAAGGACTAACCATTCCCTGGTTCTAGCCAAGGCTGGGAACAATCCCTTCCAGCCATGCAGGCCTGTTGGCACCAAGTCACTCGTGTCTAAATACAGTAGTTAAGAAACTGAGACACTGGGTGTGGCTTGGCATTTTCTCTCTCACCTGTGGAGGGCTCCATCTCATACAGGATCCTTCCCTAGAGGATTCCCCTTCACCTTTTGTGCTGTCCCCTGCCTCATCGTGTAGTGATATATTATTTGATTATGCTCATATCTGCTGTACTTTTCATTTTTTAAAATCATTGTGTGGCTATTCTCTGTCCATGTGGATTCAAACCTCAAATTTTTTTGGCCACATATATGTGATTCCTTTTCATCATAGCCTATTTATTTGTCCAGACTTTTCCTGGCCTTGTTCTGTATAGAATTCTTTTCTCCAAGTCATGTAGTAGAACCTTCTGGAATGAGGAGAGTCATACCTTGCTATCAGACAAGGCAGGTCAAAGAATTTTCTTATGGCCAGATCTAAAACAGGGAAAGATTAGGATTTCTACAACCTCTCTTGAGGAAGAGAAATTCTAGTTTCTGTGGTTTACCTTGGGAAAATACATAATATTTTATATAAAATATAAAGTATATAAAAATGTAGATTAATATAAAATATAAATATATTTCTTATATACATGAAATATGTATCTATCTATATCAGTCTGTCTCCCAGCAAGTTTAGGAAAAGCTGGCTTAGAAAAAAGCATCAGATATCCCAAGACAAGGTGCTGGAATTGACCTGCAAGAGAGGGCTAGGATTATGCCATGCATGGCGGCACATACCTGTAATCCTAGCATTTAGGAGGCTGAGGCAGGAGGATCGCTGTGAGCTGGGGTGGGCCTGAGCTATGTAGTGTGTTCAAGGCCAGTCTAAACTACAGGAGACCCTGTCAAAAAGAAAGAAAAGGAAGGAAGGAAGGAAGGAAGGAGGGGAGAGAGAGGGAGGGAAGGAGGAAGGAAGAGAGAGAGAAAGAAAAGAAGAAAGAAAGAAAGAAAGAAAGAAAGAAAGAAAGAAAGAAAGAAGGAAAAGAAAGAAAGAAAGAGAAAGAGGAAGAAAGGAAGGAAGGAAGAAGAAAGAAAGGTGTGGTGGGGGCTGGGTTTCTGTGTTTGGCAGTGATGTCTGAGGAGAAATAATCGAGGAGGCACTAGAAGTGTTAATGTGTATACTCCTCAGAAGATATTTGTCCTTAAATTCCTGAGGATTTTCTTTTTATTGTATTTCTTGCTTCTTTTAATAAAAAGAGAAAATTTCATTTTTAAACAGATACCCTCAGTGAGAAAGTGTGAGAACTTTGTGACATTTTCACTAGCAGCCAGCAGCCAGCAGCCAGGCCAATCCACAGAGGGGAATCATTCTCACTATTTCTCTCCCCTGTTTTCAGAAAATGAGCGACTTCTGCAAGCCAACAACAGAAAACTCACCACTTACTTTGGCTATCCAGTGAGTATCCGGTCTTTGGCTATCTCATAAGGGGCTGGAATTCCCCTGCAATACTCCCCTTTGTTGGGGAAACAGGGAGTTCACCGTAGATGTGGATGCTACTACATAGATCCTAATTTCTCCTGAACTCCTAGATAATGAGTGGTGCAATAAGGGCTCAAACCAAAAGTAATCCAGTGCCCTAAACTCAGGGGAAAAGATGTCTCAGATTTTGGATTTATATATAACTCCAAGAAAAGAAATACTGTTCCTTTTTCTTTCTTTTTTTTTCTTTTTTTTTTGATACCAGGAATCAAACTCGGGATCTTGTGCTTGCGAGGCAGGCGGCAGAACCACTGAGCTAAATCCCCAGCTATTGTTCCTTTTTCTTACACAAATGAAAGCATGGTTCCATAATTATCTTTTTTAGTTAGACATCTATTATAATACATATAGATCTGTCTCATTTATTTCACAGTGGCACTGTTTTCCTTTATATTGATAAACTTAAATTATTTAACCAATCGTCTTTTTTTTTTCCCCCCTTTGGGTACTGGGGATCAAACTCGGGATCTTTAACTTGCAAAGCAGCCAGTGGCACCACTGAGCTAAATCCCAGCTGACCAGTCATCTATTGATGAAAATTTCTAGTGTTTTTCTATGATAACTGGTCCTGAATGAACATGATTATACATATAGTTTGGTACATGTGAGCTACCTAGAAGCAAGCTGGCTGGCCTAAAAGGAAAACATGTTAAAAATTATAATACATATTATCAGATTGCCCACTTCTTAAAAGATGATATTCATTTTTATTTCTACCTATAGTAGAGTCTGCCCATTTCTCCGCATTCCTGCCAGACTGTCAATATCAGTCTTGTCATCTTTGCCAGCCTTTTAGATGAAAAATGGCATTTTGTTACCTATTCTTCCTTAATTTAAAATGAGATTGATAATCTGTTCATATTAATTAGCCTTTTGTATTTATTTTTTAAAAAAAAAACTGTTTGTGATCTTTGTCCATTTCCTATTCGGTTATCTCATTTATTTATGAATAAATAATTCATTGAAAAAGATATATATTGATATCATGCCTTAGTACCCCATCCACATCTGCTCCCATAGGGAACCACTTACATTAGTTTCTTTAGTTTCTTGTGTATTCATCATTGCTTCCTTGTGCAAATAAAGCAAATACAAATATATATTCTTACTTCCCATTGTTTTACACTATTCTATATTTAACAATACATTCTGAATGTGTTTTCATAATCATAATTTCATAATAGCCTTTACCTTTTTTCTTTTTTAGCTGCATAGTATTTGCTGTACAGATTTAGCATAGTTTATGTAAACAATTCCTTATAAATGGTCATTTAGTTGGTTTCAATCTTTTATAACTATAAGCAATGCTTTTATATACATAAGTTATTTCATGTTACCTACATACAAATATATATAGAAAATATAAAAATATATACTCATATATGTTTGTAGTTTCTGTAGAAAGTTTATGATTCCTGAGCTGGAGTGGTTCTAGATAATAATAGTGTTCGAGCTGTGGCAATGGGAGCTGGATTTTTTCCTTTCCATCTTCTAGACCTGTAGAAGCAGTGGGATACATTAAAAGTAGGTTTTAGCATCAGGCAGACCTGAGTTTGAATCCAGTTTTGCTCCTTACTAACCCTGAAGTATTACACAAGTTGTTTAGCACCTCTGGTCTTTAGTTCTTTCATTCATAAGAAAGGGATAATAAGATTTGCCTTACCTTGTGGTTGTGGGAGTTAAACATGGTCGTGAAATGTTGATCCTCTCTCCAAGAAACTGTTGCCCTTTGGGAAAAAAAGCATCTGTCTTATTCACCTCTGTATCCATTATTCCCACCACAGTGTTTGGCCACACCTGGCATTCAATAAATATATACTGAATATTGAATAAACAAACAGATCAACCCAATGTTGAGCTATCTTTTGTTCCACTAATTGCTCTTGGTTTTTGTTGTTACTGTCTTTTACTTGTAGAACAATACCATCAAAACCTCAAAGTATAATGCCTTAAACTTCTTGCCCACGAACCTGTTTGAACAGTTCCAGAGACTTGCAAATGCCTATTTCCTGATTTTGGTATTCCTACAGGTATTGCCTCTTGGAGCCTTTTCCACATGTGATTTATTAATTTCTCTGGGCTCAGGCTATATAGTCAGTCCCTAAACTGAGAGTTATCATCTCTCTTTAGACACAGGCAAATTGATTGGTGGAGTTTCAGGGTGTCCTAGTGTAGCTGAGGTCAGGATTAGCCAATGTGAATCAAACCTGTAGAGGTAGAAGGAGACAGGTCATGGAACCCTGAAGAAAGGAGAGCTTCTCATCATGGATGCATGGTCACAGTTAACTTGACCACTAACTCCAACCCTAACTGCAACCTATTCCTCTTTCTTGTCCCAGCTGTCATGACAGGAAATTGACAAACAGGAGTACTGAGGATGGTTTAGAATATAAGAGTACTAGCACAAAGAAAAGCATCAGTGTCAGCTAGGCACACACTGGAAAAAGGGAACAGACAGATCATCCCTTCTCCCCTTGTGCTGAAAGAACACTGGAGAGTATGTGGTTTTCCCACATCCACTCTTAACACCCTACCCCTTGTACATTTCATCATCAGGGAACAGACATCCTTCTTCCATCAGGACAAAGGTAGTGGAGTTCAGAACAGATAGGTGGCATTGAACAGACTTTTCTTCTTTACTTACATTTTGAGGGCTATAAGCTATATAGCAGTAGAAAGCAACTTGGATTGTTGGATTTATTATGATTCTAGGGAGGTGAAAATAGTGGTGGGGTAGGGAGATGAGAGACACATATAATCCTTTAAGTTGTCTGACCCTAGATTCTCTTTCTTTCCCTCTCATAGTTGATTCCCCAGATTTCCTCCTTGGCAAGTTACACAACTGTGATACCCCTAACAGTGGTGCTGTCCATAACAGCCATGAAAGATGCCATCGATGACATGGTAGATTTTCTTCCTTGGCTTCTCTCACTCTACCTAGTCAGGCTGTGGGCAAGAAGACTTCCCAGATGTACCTTATGCTAAGAAGCACTGAATGAAAAGAAATGTTTCCCTTCCTTGTTCTCTTATCTATCCCAGAGGGATATGTAATAATTCCCATAGCCCCATGACTGGTGCTCTGGGGCTGGAAAGGTGTAATGCAAGGCCTTGTTGCTGCCATCTTTTTAGTCCTCCTCCAGCCCTCCTTCCCTTTCTTCTTTGATAACCCACCTTTCATTAGCTTTCTCGAGCTTCACTGTTCTTCTTCCTCTGTACCTCCTTCTCTCATTTTATATTTTCTCCTTCTTTCCTGACCCCTGCTCCCTCTTTCTCCTATTCTTCCTCTTTCTTCTCTCTGTCTCCACATTTCCCTTCTCTCCAATTCTCCCTATCTTTCTTTCCAACTTTCAATTGTATTCAGCATGAACATCTAGGAGCCCTTTGGTTTTAGAAAGCCTCATGACATAAGCAGAGGTAACTCCTTTCCTGGCCTTGGAAAGAAAAACTGGCTCACAGTGAGTGCTGTAAAAGGGAGGCCCCAGCCCCACCCCTGCTAGTGGGATTTGGGAAGCCAGTCCATGCAGCTTCCCCAAGAAAGTCTTTTGGATTTTGCCAAGATAGATTTTTAGACCAAAGTTTGAGAGCTCCTTAACTTTATAAAATCTAGGATTAGCACATGTGGACATGTACATTTCAGTCACAACTCAGATGTGCAAAAATGTAACTATTTCTCAACAATTGAACTAATTTTAGCTCACAGCCATACACGTACCCTACCCCTAATCTTTCCAGTGACAACTAAAAACTTAACTTGCCATTCAGGGTAACCCAGCTGGTTCAGAATTCAGTCTCTTTAACATAAACGTTGGAACAATTCTGAATTTTAACAAATTCAGGATTCTATCTGTCCCCATCCCCATGGTCCTCTTTTCCCAAGGAATGAGCTTAACTGGAAGGGGGCAATTCAGGCATGCCCTGAATTTGTGCTCCTGCTATTTGGCCTTTGAGTATTTATTTGCCCCTTTCCTCCCTGCATCTGTCTTCTGTAGAAGCTTCTGTATGTCAACCATGGATGGGGCTGGGGCATGAGTATGTCCAAGAATATGAGGCTCTCCCTGCTCCTGCCAAGGACTATGGGACTCTAGTCCTCCCCGTCACTATGTACTCTGTCCTCTGAGTCTTTGACATACTTGTTTGTTCTCATTCCCCACAGCCTTTGGCTTTTGATATTAACAACAAGATTTTGTTTCTTTCTTCTCCCTGGGTTCTTTTTCTGACCTCCTTTCCCAGCCCCCAGGAGACATCATTCTTTTGGTCTGGTTGGTAGAAAGACTTTGAGGTAGGGGAAAGGAGAATTAGAAAGAACGGAACTACATTGGACAATATTCCAAAATGTTAAAATTCTATGTGCAGTTTGCTATGTGTCCATTTCCTGAACATTTTCTTGTGTGATTTTAGAAAAGGCACCAAAGTGACAGTCAAGTTAACAACCGTCCTGTTCTGCTTCTGGTGAATGGCAGGTAAGCTCTTTTTGGGAAGCCAATTAAAGCAGGTCTACTCCTGGGAGAGAGTCAGCCTTGCTGAGGCTTGACATGCTGGGTCTTTTGGAAAGGCAATTCAGAACAGTGAAAAGAATCTTAGATTGGTCATAAGAAAAATTCTAGGTATCATCTAGCGTATCTTGAAATTATAATATTATTTCAGATGTCTATAAAGTGGAAATTATATTCTCTACCTCAGCTGATGCCTGTGAAAATAAAAATGAAATTATATATTAAAGCAATTAATAAAGATATTAATATGCAGGGCGGGGGATTTAGCTCAGTGGTTCCGGCTCCTGCCTCACAAGTGCAAGGTCCTGAGTTTGATCCCCGGTACCAAAAAAAAAAAGATATTAATATGTAAGTGATTATTAACAGGTTAGTATAGAGACATTTGTCTTCAAAACAATGGATTCTGAGGCTGGGTGTGGTGGTGCAGCCCTGTAATCCCAGCACTCAGGAGGCAGAGACGGGGATCACCTTGAGTTTTGAGGCTAGCCTGGGCTGCATAGTGAGTTCAGGGCCAGTCTAAACTACAAAATGAGATCCTGTCTCAAAAAAACAAAAACAAACAAACAAAAAAAATAGTGGATTTTGTTATGACTTACTCGCCATTCTAGTATAGCCTTTGGTCAAGTTATCTTTCCTGTTGCAATCTAAATAGTCTCATGTTGACCTCACTGCTGTGGTGCTTGGTCACAGCCATCTAAAGTGTTGGCAGAGCTGCAAGGGGGCAAGCATATTCCTATACAAAGCAAAATATGAAGACTATCATAAGAGGTACAACAAATTATTATAGCAAATTATTATTATAGCTGGCAAGGGGAATCAAGGAAGACTTTCTAGAGAAGATGACATCTGGACCAGGCTTTAAGGAATGGGAAGAATTCAACACATAGGCACTGTGTGAAAGGAAGAGTGACCAGTGTGAGAAGAACCATGATTCCAAGAAAGTGCAAACTTGAAGGAATTCAAGATTGAGGTGCAGACATTCTCTTGGTGGCCTTATAGAACACCTAGTAGCTATAATTTTTATCAGATTATCTGAAGTTCTTAGGCATATAATCCTGCTATTTATTGTGTCTGCTGGTTGTTACTCATAGTGGGTTGTTTCCTTGGGGGTTTGAACTTTTAAAACCTTTCATATGACACCCAAAAGGTCAGTTGTAGTTAAGAAGAAGGGAAATAGAAATAAAAAGAAAAGACAGAACTGAGTATGTTTGAAACTGGGCAAGCTAGGGAGTCGCTGACCAAATGAATTTACTCTCCTGAGTATCTTGAGTACTTGGGTTGTATAACATTACTGGAGAAGAATTTGTCACAGAGTAATTTTAGGATGGGAGTTAACCAGCAAGGCCCTGGTTAGATATTGTAAAAGGTATCTGATTAATTCAATATGCAGAGGTGAGGTTTATTATTAGAATGGTTTCCTTTCCAGAAAGCAACTTTCTTTTTCTGGAATCCACTGAGAAGTCCTGCTATTTAAAAAGTTTCCCTGTTTAGCAAGTTGCAATTTTTGTCATTTTTCATTTCTGAGTAATTATGTTTACAAGCATATGTTTAATAAAAGAGCTTTTTGTTGGGAATTCTAAGTAGCCTGAGCCAAAGTTGCATCCCCTTCAGAGGGGTTTGTGTTTGCTTTTGCCAGGGTTTCACCTGCCAACCCTTAATTTGGAGGAAGTTTAAATGTGAACGCCATACCATAGGAAGTTTCAAATGCTCAGGAGACTGACTCCCCACCCAACCTGTAGGATGTTAGACAAACTGTCTTACAAGTAGGTTGATATATTTTTTAGACTTCCCTTTCACTATTGGTGTTGTCCTTTAATGTTTTATGAGGAGTTGTTCCAATCCATTACCTCTTAAGATTGTAAGTCTTCATCTTTTGTCTATCTGGAGGGAAATTACTAGATTGTTAAAACTGGCAATCCCCTTGCCCACCCTAGGCAAGAAGATCTTTAGACCATACTTACTGTTCCAGATTTCATTCTCTTTTTTCCTGGCTCCTTGCTTTATGCCAAGTATAGCCTTGCCTTTGAAAAAGTGCTGGCTTTATTTTATCTAGTATTTCTAGGTATTTGTAATATTAAAAGTACCAATGTGTTATAGAGCTTCAGGAGGTACCATTCATACAAAACAGAATATAATATGAGTGGTCTCCCTTGAAGTCAAAGTATTTGGCTTCTCTAGCTCTCTGATACATTTTCTAAACCATAAGCTAGGGTACAATGCCTGGAAATCTAAAATGCACTTAAGGCACAACAGGAGTCCATATTTTAAATCAGTAGGAGTATCTTCCCCTTTCCAAAGTCTGGGACACATAGTTGTTAAAATGTCTAGGAACAAATTGTAATAGTCTGGCAGCTTCTTATGTAATAAAATATAAGAATTTAAATCTCCAGGAGAAGCCAGAATATTATATAGCATTGCTCTCTCTTCACGTTTCACTGGTGAAAATAATGGCAGGTAGAATGCCAGAGAACCCACAGAAGTAAATGTCAGATCAAAAGAAAATAAAATAAATATTCAGATGTCTTTCTTCAAGGCTTGTAGCTACCAATCTTCAGTACTATCAGAAAATTCTCTAAAAGAGTGAGTATATATTAAAGGGATTTTTTGTATAAAAAAATTGGACCCTTCTCAAAGAAAAGGTGTTCTGAGAATCCCTATTCCTTTGTGTATCTGGCAAAATGGTGGTGTATGTCATGGTCCACAGGAGACAAAGCTGTATTCAAACATGAGATGGAGAATGGTTTCTAAATGTGCCCTCTCTTTCCCAGCTCTATGGGTACTTAGCACAGTAGAACTGTTCAAGGGGGTAATGTTTCCAAAATACTATGGCAATCTCTACATCCTCTTTAGTCCCTTTTCAGGGAGGAAGGACTCACAAATCATATACAGTTGGAGAAATTGAGTACAAAAAGAGGAGGGAAGAGAGTCAGTATTATTGTAGAATCCACTCACACTGCCAGGCTGCCTTTTATGGGGAGTAGGCATTTCAAGAGTCAAAGGCATTTTAGTTTTCACATAAGTAAATAAATTTCATACAGCCATGTAATAGTGTACATCTCAGCTATTAAAAAGAATGAGCCACAACTTGTATAAATGTTCTCCAGGATATATTACTAAGTGAAAAAGTACAGAAAATTATATATTTAGTGTACAACTTTTAAATGTATATATTATATGGGATTTTATGAATTGATATTTTCTAGAAAGAAATACAAGAAAATGTAGTGGCCACCCTTGTGGAGCAGAACTAAAGGCTGTGGACAGAGGAGACTCTAATTTTTCCTTTTACATATTTCTTTACTATTCAAACTATTTCACTTTTAAAATTCTTATGTGCACATATATCTATGTATACTTCTGTAGGGTTCTAGGAAACTCTTTTAGCCTGAAGAGAAATAGGCCCCATTCTTGACTGCAGCAAGGATGCATCACAAACCAGTTTGGTCCTCCTGGGCCTTGTCTTTGTTCATCTCAGCCTCCTTTGTTGTTTTGTTTTTTGTTTCTTGATTATCAAAACAGAGCTCTGGCAAAATTCTCAAAGCAGACATTCAAAGATCATTTTCTTACAGGATGGAGGAGGACAAATGGATGAATGTCCAAGTAGGAGATATAATCAAACTAAAAAATAATCAGCCTGTTACAGTGAGTACCTCTCCTGGCTGTGGCTTTTTGGTTTTTGGCTTGAGTGGGAATTAGGGACCCTTAGGGCACTTCTGCTACCACTATTCCTGGTGACATTTATCTGTCTCCCTTTGCATTGAAGATCAGCAACACCTACGATAAAAGCTTGTTCTTATACCTCTCTCACCATAGCTATAGGTAAGTGTGAATAGCTTTGGAAGAGGGTAGCAGTGATAAGTCCCAGACAAAGAAAGTAAAACCAACTCTGTAAAATAGTTTGGTGAATATTTTTTCCTCAGGGATGGCTTTGGTCACACTGTGATGCTAAAAGCCTATTTTTCTCATCTTCTCTGGCTTCTCTTATCACAGGCAGATATACTATTGCTCTCTAGCAGTGAGCCATACAGTCTGGCATACATAGAAACAGCAGAACTGGATGGGTAAGTGTTCCCTCCTGATACTTCATTAAGACAGTTTTATCCAGCTTAGAGTGGCATCTCACTGAGAGCATGATACAGGGAATTAACCTTATTCTCAGATAAAAATGAGAGTATATGAGCCAGAGAATCTAGAACTATCCATTTGAGAGAAGACAGGAACCCAGATCCTTGGGACCTTTAAGAATAAGACTGGGCCGGGAGGGCTGGGGATTTAGCTCAGTGGTTCTGCCGCCTGCTTCACCAGCACAAGGTCCCAAGTTCAATCCCCAGTACCAAAAAAAATGAAGAAGAGGAAGAAGAAGAGGAAGAGGGAGAAGGAGAAGAAGAAGATCAACTGGGTCCAGAATCTGGGCAAATAAACTTTATATTCTCCATCTCTAAACTAGAAACATTGTGTGTAGCTGTACAGTCAGCCCTCCATAACCATGGGTTCTTTATCTGTAACTCCAAGGCCCACAGATTAAAAATATTGGAAAAAAATTTATATCTGTACCAAATATATACAGATCTTTCTCCTTGTTTTTCCCTAAACAATATAACATAGCAAGTATTTGCATAGCATTTACATTGAATTATAAATTGCCAGGTGTGGTGGTGCTTACCTGTAATCCTAGCTTACTTGAAAGGCTAAGGAAGTAGAATGCTGAGTTCATAGCCACCTTGGGAAACTTAGTAAGACTCTATCTCAAAATAAAATTTAAAAACAGATGTGGGGATGTAGCTCAGCACTCCCTGGTTTCAATCCCTAGTACCAGAAAAAAATTAAAAGTGATCAAGAATTTATTTAAAGTATACTGAGGGTGTATGTAGGTACTGCACACATATTGTGCCATTTTATATGAGGAACTTGAGCATCCATGGGTTTGGGTATCTGGGGGAGGGGGGTTAGTCCTAGATCCAATGCCCTAGAGATACTCAGGGACAGCTGTATTCCATAATGCTGAGTAGTAGAAAAGAGGTTAATTGAACCATAAATTTTCAGAATAGAGTTCTAGAGTTTCTGGGGAAATGTGAGTGAGGAAAAATTATCTACTGATTCAAAAAAGCTAAGGTCTTAGGAGGATCAGGGTCATTTTCAGAGAGCTCATCTTGCAGAGTTTTACATCAATCTGCATTCTTAAAATTATTCCTTTGGTGCCTTCAAGCTTTTTGAAATCTGCCTTCTATTTTGGCTGTGTCTCTATGCATTCCTCTCTCAGCAAATGGTTAATTACAGGGCCCTTCTTGGGCTCTGTTAATGTTTATGATGTTGGGAGTATGTTTCCTTGGAGGTGTATACAGGTTCTTACTAGAATCTACTCCTTATTCTTGTAGGGAGCAGGTGCCACCCCCAGGTCCCTTCATGATGTCTTTTCAGCTTTTCCAGTGCATCTGACCAGCTAAATCTCTGGGTTAGTTAAAGTAGTGGTGATGTGTTACAGGAGGTGAGGGGAGAGAGGGGCAGCGAAGGGGCTAACATTTGGCTCCCTTGCAGAGTTATCTCACCTCAGTACTGCCCATGACAGCAGGGAACTCTTACAGCTCAAATCCATGGCCCAGGCTCTGCTGGAAACATCTGTTTTCTAAAACCCCATGAAGAAGTAGGAGAAACTGGTCCTATGCTCCTGTTGTACATATGGCCTGTACTCTAGTGATCCTGTGTTCTTTACTCTAGTGAAACCAACCTGAAAGTGAAGCAGGCCATCTCAGTTACCAGTGATTTGGAAGATAATCTGGAGCTGCTGTCTGCTTTTGATGGTGAGTTAGAAAATAAGATTACGCACCCAAAGTTTCATCAGTAAAGAACTGGCTAAATAAAGTATGGTACATCCATGCAGCAAGTTCTACACAACTCATTACAGAAATATGCAAGTTGATATTTACTGACATGGAAAATATTTATATCATACTAACAGGAAAATACAGATGACAGAAGACTGCATAGTATATATCACAGAAACCTGTTTGAGAAACATATGATTGAGTATATTATAGGAAAAAAATGGAAAGGATATATTTCAAAAGGTTAATAGTACTTTTATCTAGACAATGGATAGATTTTACTTAATCATTTTAGCATTGCATAAATATTTATAGGGGCATTTAGTTTATTAATCAGGAAAAAATCAAACTGTCTCCATTTTTTAAAAAATACACCTAGGTTTTTTTTTTTTTTTTTTTTGGTACCAGGGATTGAACTTGGGACCTTGTGCTTGCAAGGCAGGTGGCAGCACCACTGAGCTAAATCCCCGGCCCTATGCCTAGCATTTTATTGCTTTCAGTCCTTTTTTCAAATTCAGAGACCAATCAATCTGACAGACTAATGGTGATAGGTTATCGTGTAAGTTTTTCTCTTTTCTGGATGAAAAGGGGCAGGGGATTTAGCTCAGTGGATTCGCTGCCTGCTGCGCAAGTCCAAGGACCCAAATTTGATCCCTGGTACCAAAAAAAGAAAAAAAGAAAGAAACAGAATTATTCTTCCTTGATGCCCAGAAACCTTTGTCTGCTTTTCTCAAGGGAGATCGAAAAATGTGATAGTTTGAAAGAGAGGTTTTCTTTCTACTTTTCTATTGAGCCTCCTTCCATTCTGTTATGAAAACCTAAGATTACAAAACAAGGACTCTTACTTCTTTACTTTTCTGCAGGAGAAGTAAAGTGTGATCCTCCCAATAACAAGTTGGACAAATTCACAGGCATCCTGACCTATAAAGGGCAAAAGTATTTACTGGACCATGACAAGCTGCTGCTCCGAGGCTGCATCATCAGGAATACAGATTGGTGCTATGGCTTAGTGATTTATACTGGTATGTTTCCCTGCAGCCACAGCCAGATTCTGCCTGCTGGAGTCCATTCATAACCAAGTTGGGAGTATTTAATTTTCAGGATGTGGATATGACACTCAGATAAATATAGATATAGATATAGATATGTCTACTATGGATAGATAGGATGGTAGATGGATGGATTAAGAAAAAGCTTATTTCTTAGAAAAACTTTTTCCCCTGAAATGCACTGCCAGCATATCAGCTCCACCTTCATTAGAAGTCTTTGTGATGGGGATGTAGCTCAGTGCTGTAGTGCGTGTCTGGCAAGTGTGAGGCCCTGAGTTTGATTCCCAGTACCAAAAAAAAAAGAAGTCTGTGTTCCAAGACCACAGAGCATTCTTGAGTCTTTCCAACCATATCTGGACACAGAGGATACATATAAAGAAAGAACAAAATAATTAGGATGTGAAAGGGGAGATTATACTTTGGATTACTCCCACAGTGAAAGAATAGAGGCAGTGTTTATTATGGAAAATAATGTAAAATATAATCTAAAGAATTTGTATCAAAGAGAAGGCACCACATTAGTAGTGGCCTTTCTTCAGATAATGTTTAGAGCCACAATCCATAATACTTAGCAAGAGATTTTCCTGGGCTGTTTCAGGAAAATAGAGGGTGCATTTATGCCATTCTATGCCCTCAGGGACAATGGGCATTGATGACTGTATTAGTCAACTTTCTGCTGTTGTGATAAAATACCTGAGAGAAACAACTTACAAGGAGGGAAGATTTATTTTGGCTCACAGTTCCGGTGGTTTCAGTCCATGGTCACATGGCCCTGTTACTCTGGGACTATGGTGAGGCTAAACATCATTGTGGGAGTGCATAGTAGAGCAAAGCCACTCACCTTACAGCAGCCAGAAACAAAAAAGAGAAGAAGGGGTCAGGTCCCAGTACAGATGTTCCTTGTTTAACAACCTACCTGGTTTTGTTTTGTCTTTTTTGGTACCAGATATCGAACTCAGGTCCTTGCGCTTGCGCAGCAGGCGTCAAAACCACTGAGCTAAATCCCCAGCCCAACAACCTACCTGACCTGTTTAATGACTGGTCAGACTTACAACCCACCACTCGGCTTATGACCCATCTTTTTTTTGTACACTTCTGTACATCTTGTTTATAGAGCTTCAGTGTCTTTTTTGTACAGTATACTTTGTTTATACAGTACTGTAATTTTTGCTGATTGTATAGTACTGTATAATACAGTACTGTAGTTTTATGTTCTATTATACATTACTGTATTGCATGTAAGAGTTATGCAAATAAAAGCAAAGTCATTGAATTGGAGTTTCCTGTGACCATTTCTTTATTCTGAATATTGTACATACTATATACAATTCCTCATTAGTGACCAGTTCATTTAACATCTAGCAGGAGGAATATAACTCAGTTGTTAAAAGAAGAGTGCTGTAAACCCTTCAAGGGCACACCTCCAGTGACCTAACTTCCTCTAACTAGGTCACACCTTCTAAAGTTCCCACCACCTCCCAATAGCACCATCAGCTAGGAACTAAGCCTTCAACACATGATCTTTTGGGGGATATTTAGGATCCAAACTATATAACACAACAACCACGATAGTAGGAAGCATCAAAATGGATTTACCAGAGAGAATACTATTCAACTCAGGTTCCCAGAACTCCTCTTCTAGAAAGTCTACTCCTAGACATGGGGCTCCTATTCTTCTTACTTCTGTGGAAAATAAGGGTACCAAGCCCCAGGGAGATACATTTTAAGGATCCTGGTGGGTATGGTCCCTAAAGCTTCTAGGTTCTGTGCCAAATTTCTCAGGATTTCAAGCCTTTCAAGAAATGTTTCAGAGAAAAGAATAGTGTTTGCTGTATACCAGGAAGTTGTAATCACTGATGAAATTTCTCCCTTAGAGTACATGTAAGAATAACGATCAGATGGTAAAGGGCCAGAGAAATTGCTACTTACAGTTTCTTTTAACTCTTTTATGCTTTCTTGCTCTGCAGCCATATCTCTAGTAATTTGCAACTGTAGTCCCAGTGGCTATTAAAACTTCTTACTTCTAACTATTGTCTGCTCTGTCACAAAAAAACAAGGGGCCACTCAGCCCCAGAGAAGCCTCAGCTCCTCATTTTCCACCCCAGGAGAACACTCCCTTTGCCTCTGGCTTCCATTCCCAGTTAGAAACTAAATATAACTTGGCCCCGCACTGGGGACCCTCTAAAGAAGACAGAGATCTCTTTATCAGAAAATTCATTCCCTAATCCAAATAAACCAAATGGTGATGAGTAAAGCTTGTGATTCCTGACTTAACTCATCTAGGAAAGGTGGAACAGAGGTGCTGCAAAGAGAAGAATCAGCATGAATACACTAGTAAAGGCAGTTGAGACTACTCTTAGAAATTAATGTTTCTGTCTGGGTTATTGACACTAATGCGAGCTCTTCTCCAGGTCTTTAACCCCTGGAATTACCTAAGAGGTTAGACTAGGTGAACATAAATATACCTTCAACCAAACTTCAAGCCTCTAAGTATATTCGGGGATTCTAAGGTCTCATGGCTCCTTGTTTTACTTAGGACCAGACACAAAATTAATGAAGAACAGTGGAAAGTCCATCTTTAAACGGACACAAATGGACCGTCTTGTGAATGTCCTTGTGCTCTGGGTAAGTTAGACTTTTTCCCTGTATTTCTTTACAAATAGACATACCTTCTACAGAAGTAGCTCCTATTTCCAACTTGGAATTGAGTTGTTAATGATTTTCAAGCCCTATTATTTCCTTAGAGGGATCTTAGGGTCTGCTGCAAGGAGAACAGAGAAGGTCAAATGGCCTTTGTTCTGACTTCCTCATCTGAAGTTCTTGATTCTAAAAGAGCAGCTTCATGTTTATCTGTCTAATAAAATTTTAGTTGGAAAAATAGGGAGCTCATCTGCTAAAAATGAAATTTGAAAAGCACTATGACATATAATCATGTCCACCAAATCTCACCCAGTAACCGCATCCAATTTGGATTCTGGGATCTCTGGGTAATGCACAGTCCTCTCCAGCTGATCTAAATATGGTTTCTCTTGGTCTTGAGACAGGGGAGGAACTTTTTTATTCATTACTCTCAATGATGTCCAGCTCTACCCTTGGGAATTTCTTCCCCATTCTTTTTATCCTCCTTGGACAACTCTGAAGAAGAGGTTGGGGGATCTGCTCTTCTTGGGGACTGCATTTTTCACTACCTGCTGCCTACCTGGTGTTGCTTTTTTTTTTTTTTTAAGGCTTCCCAACCAGTCACAAGCTTTAAAGACTGGGTTTATGGTAACTTTAGTAATATCACCCTTCCAACACCTACCAGGATTCTAATTTGTTTGCTCCCAGTTAATTCCACATGCCAGTAGCCAACCTACCCCCCCACACACATACACACAAATTCTTTCCTAGGCATAGTTATGAAATTTGTCCTATTTCTGTGTTTCGTTAGACTTCATACCCTACTCTCTCCATTCAGTAGCAAAAAGTTGAGGCTATCTGAAGTAATAGTCATGGGTTAAAATGCATTGCCTTTAATCCAAATTTTGCCTCAAGCTGTCATTTTTTTCAGCTGAAAAGAATCACTAGGCCTTGTTTTCTAAAGGTCCCAATATCTTCCTATTTATTGTCTACAAGTTATAGTCCTTTGATGGCCTAAATTTCTTTACTCTGTTTCTTTTCATTTGTGCTTATATATTGATTGGCCAGTTCTCTCTCTTGGTCAATTCTTCTTTTTAAAACTTTGTCAGAGGGCCGGGTATTTAGCTCAGTGGTTCCAGTGCCTGCCCCACAAGTGCAAGGTCCTGAGTTCAATCCCCAGTACCAAAAAAAAAAAATTTGTCAAAGGCAGCCAGTAGTAATTAATATACTAATACTCCAATCCTTTCTAACCACTTCCTTTAGAGCTGCAGGTTTGGTAAGCACACAGTCTACCTTCCAGTTTTAGTTTTTCCAGATTAGTTACTGTTTACATTCTTGCCATCTTTCCAGCCTTTTATTTTATTTTTTATTTTTCCAGTATCAGGAATTGAACTCAGGACCTTGCACTTGCCAGGAAGGCGCAGTACCACTGAGCTACATCCCCAGCCCTTTCCAGTCTTTTATATCAGTTTTCTTTACTACTGCTACCCCCCCCCAATTGCTAAGCCAATATCACACATATTAGATTTTTTTTTTAAAGTGGCACCTCACTTCAATAATGGAGTGATTGAGGATATGTTTCAGAAACTCTGTCTCCTACTCAATAGCTAAATGACTTTGGTCAGAACATTTTTCCACTCTCAGTATCAAGTTCCTCATTTATTGTTAAGAGTATTATAATAAATAAATATTAAATAAATAACCTAGCAGTTCCCAGCACTTAATTAGTACTTAGTATATTTTAGTTATTGTTATCTCTCAAAACCCCAAGGATGTCTCCTACTGAGCTTTCTTTTCTGTTCTGTGTCCTGTTTTCAGGGCCTATAAACTCTGTGACCTCCTGACCTTCAAGGAGAGACAGACTTCTTGTTGAGCTCCAGAAGGTAGAACTGAAGCAGTATATACCTTGGATGAAATGTTCATTTAATTCATTTTTGTTTTGTTTTTTATAGATTTTCCTGCTTTTAGGCATCATGTGTTTTATCATAGCAGTTGGTCATGGCATTTGGCAGAGCAAGATAGGCTACTACTTCCAGATTTTTCTGCCATGGGAAAATTATGTCTCTTCATCAGTCATATCTGCCACACTCATTTACTGGTCCTACTTCATTGTTCTCAACACCATGGTGCCCATTTCCATCTACATCAAGTAGGCTTCTTTGATTATATTAGGTTATGGGGGAAGGTTGACTTCTTACTTCCTGCTTAATTCTCCAACAAGAGTATGAACTTTAAAAAACCATATGCTATGTGCCCTTTAATTCTTTACTTTCCACAGGCTGGTATGCAAAACATTCTCAGAAATATCTAGAGATTGTATGGATGCTTTCTATCCCAGCATACTGTACTAGATATTATGTGGTTTATACAAAAAGAAAATTATACCTGCCCTCAAATAACCTGTGACTAAATAAGACATACAAACAATTAGAAAAATGTGGTAATGCTAACACCTGACCAGGCAGCTGCTACTTACCAACCAATGAGATAGACTCTAAGCATTCATTCATACGTCAGTCAGTCAGAACTTGGAATGTATTTCCCACAGAAACAAGTTGCCAAATAGGTGTGATTTTTGACTCAAGTTCAGTTCATAAAAGTTGGAGAAGAGAAAGGATACATTTCTCCTTTTTCATAAGCACCTTGGACAAAAATTTGAAATAGGTGAAGTAAATCTTCACTGTACTCTTACCTTCCTTTTCTAGGTTTAGCATTCCCTGACACATACACAGACCCAAATGTGTTTTAGTTTCCTCCTTTCCAGGTTTTCTAAAGCATGGGCTATGACATCCTAACTCAGAAGGCACCCTCCAAATATATAACTATATAATATAACTAAATTATATTCTTTAATAGTTATTGAGCACCTACTATGGGTCAAGCTAACATGAATAATAAAACATGCCTTTCTCGGTTCTTCTTTTTTTCCCTTCCCTTGCCCTCCCTTCACTCCCTCCACTCTTCCCTAATTGCAAAGACCTTGTTTCCATTTTTTTTTCTCTTTTCATATTTTTTCCTTTCCCTTTATTCCCTTCCCCTACCCCTCCCAATTCCCCTGGTCTTTTAGACCTTTTCTTCCTGTTACACAATATCAGTTATACATTTTTTAAATAACAACATTAAGATCTAGGAGACATTACCACAGATTTTACAGAATTTAAAAGGACATAGAAAGCATATTACAAAAATCTTTTTTG